ACTACCCAATATCATCGAGACAGGACTGTCTGCACTGACAGATTGCTTACCCCAGACCCACATCAAATGCTCAACTTCTCACTGCAGTCGCTACAGATCATCATTACACTTCAATGGCAGATGATGAAATGATGCGTGGCTTATATATGTTCTAAGGAAGCCACACAAATAATGATTCTCCTTCTGTCAATATTAGCTTTTCATAATGTCATTGCTGCAAACTCTTACATTATTGAGATGCCCAAGTTCAATTTACAAGTACCGATGGCATATGGCAAATCACTTCTGACCAGCACCTGTCCCCGAAGTACCCACAATCTTATATGATTGCAAATTTAATGTACCTGGGTTTGCAAACGGACATTTCATCAATTTCTTTCTACAATGCCCTGGTTTTCAGCCAATGTGGACCCTGTGCTTTTGCCTATCAAACTGGCTCTCCCTCTCCCCATCCTGGTCATTGTTCCAGCCATTTTCTAGTGTCACTTTGCACCCACAGAATGATAGGTGATGGCAGGGAACACAGCTCATGGAGAATACTGTCAGCACCAAGCCTTGTCTGGTTGTTAGGTACTCCAAGAACATCCTAGCACTACACTGATAGCCTATTTCTACACCCAACCCCCTCACCCTTCCACATTGAACTTCACCTTCAACTCTCCTCTTTGCCCTCTGAAGCTCAGCGACACACCTTAATGATGATCACCTTGCTCTTCTATGTTCCTTCTGTGAGGCCACAGTGATGGTCTGTGACTAAAACCCCACCCCTATAGTCTACTAGGTCCTCCAGTGCTGTACCACATACCATTCATTCACCTTGACTTTCTCCCCTGTAGTATCCTTTTTCTCACCATCTGAAATGCTTATGTTTACCCCAGCACTGCTGACTCCCTCTCTCTTTTTGGCAGTGATTCCCCCTCCCACACCCCCGGCACATTTGATGGATGTACTTGTCAGGACTGTATTCACCCGAGGTCTCTGATCAAATTCGATGAACAGCTTCCTTGACATGACAAATCAGACCCTGACCACTGTCTGCACATCCCTGGCTGATGGTAAATGGTTTCTCCTGACTGTTGTGCTGGCCTCATGGGATTGACCATTTTCCGAACCGTACTGGGATAGATTCCCCTGACTGTGAGTATCCCAAGTGGTCTACTGACCATGGCGAAGCTCCTGAACTGTGTGTGAATTGTGGCCATGACTGATGGTACTGAGACCCCCTAAACTGACAGTGTCTCCCCCCTCAGCAGACTGAAGACCAGCCCCCAAGGTTTCCATCATAGTCATTTGGTTGAATAAACATGCAGTGTGTTTGCCACCAGGCAGCTAGCACCTCCTGTAGATGTTAGATTAAAGGTCCAGCATGATGTCGCCACCCCCTCATTCTCCTTCTAGACACACAGGAACATAGTAAATAGGAGCAGGAGTAGACCATTCAGCCCTTCGAGCCTGCTGATAGATACTCATCCAACTGAGTATCTTTTTCTGAATTTTCTGAAGAAGGGTCTAGACCTGAAACGTTAGCTTTCCTGCTCCTCTGATGCTGCTTGGCCTGCTGTGTTCTTCCAGCTCTACACCTTGTTGTCTCTGAGTATCCTGTTCTTGCTTTATCCCCATACTCCTCAATCACTTTATCCCTAAGAACTATATCTAACTCCTTATTGAAAACATTCATTCTTTTGGCCTCAACCACTTTCATTGGCAAAGAATTCCACAGGTTTTCCATTCTCTGGCTGAAGACATTTCTCCTCATCTCAGTCCTATATGGCCTACCACGTACCCTTAGACTGCGACCCCTGGTTCTGGACTGCCTGGTCATTGGGAGCATCATTCGAGTGTTTGTGCTGTTTAAGTGTCGGTGTCTGGGCAAAGGAGCACCTAGATACACCAATACTGATAGCCTATGGCTCCTGCTGATATACCAAATAGTAACTGGCATGGCAAGGGAATGCAAGGCATGGATGCAGCGGATAGGCAGGTAGTTGCTGAGTGAGTGAGCGAGCGAGCCAACACTAAGACACCAAACAAGCAGTTCTGAAACATAGCCTGGTCCAATCCTTGATGCCTACCTGTGCATTCAAATTTTCACTGCAACAACCTTTCAATGCTCAGAAGTTGCTGGAAAAGCTCAGTAGGTCTGGCAGCATTTGTGAAGAAAATTCAGAGTTAATATTTTGGGTCCGGTGACCCTTCCTCAGAATTGATGTTAGCTCGGAAAATGTCGATTTATATGCAGAAGATAGGATGCGGGGAGGGGGTGAGGAGTAAATGATAGGTGGAGATAGAGCCCAAAGAGAGAGAACAACAGTTGGATAGATAAAGGAGGAGATAACAATCTGGCTAGGAGTGTGAATAGCTGTTAATGGAAATATTAGTGGCTAACAATAGGTAATGTGTGATGGCAGGCTATGTGATATCAAGGTCTGGTGTGTGGGGTAGGGGTCTAGGACATGGGAGAGTTCAGGCCCTAAAATGATTGAACTTGATATTGAATCCAGGAGTATGCAGGGTCCCCAAGCGGAAAATGAGGTGTTGTTCTTCCATCTTGTGCTGAACTTCGCTGGAACTCTGCAGCAAGCCTGAGACAGAGATATTGGCCATGGAACAGGGTGGTGTGTTCAAGTGGCAGGCGACTGAAAGCTCAGGGTCTTTTTTGTGGGCAGAATGTGGATGTTTTGCAAAGCGGTCACTCAGTTTATGCTTTGTTTCCTCGATGTAGAGGAGACCACATTGTGAGCAGTGAATGCAGTAGGCTAGATTCGAGGAAGTGCAGGTGAATTGCTGCATCACGTGGAAGGTATGTTTGGGTTTTTTGGTTACTAGGAAGGGAGGAGGTAAATGGCCAGGTGTTACACTTTAGGCGGTTGCAAGGGAAGGTGCCGTGGGTGTTGTGGGGGTGTGTTGTAAGTGAAGGAAAAGTGGTCCAGAGTATCCCAGAGGGAACGGTCCCTGAGGAAGGTGAGGGGAGGGGAATATGTATCTGGTGGTGGCATCTCATTGGAGGTGGCAGAAATGGAGGCTGATGATCTTCTGGATGTGGATGCAGGTGGGATGTAGGTAAGGACAAGGTGAGCCCTATCGCTGTTGCAGGACGAAAGAGAAGGGGTGAGAGCAGAAGTGCGGGAGATGGGTCAGACCTGGTTGAGGGCCCTGTCGACAACGGTGCTGGGGAATCCTTGGTTGAGGAAGAAGGTGGACATTTTGGGGGCTCCCTTATTGAAGATGGCCTCATCAGAACATATGTGATGGAGACAGAGGAACTGAGATGAGGCCAGATTTGACAAGGGAACCTTCAAAATGTTCAACTTCTTCCTCAACAGTGGATTCCCCAGCACTGTTGTCGACAGGGCCCTCAACCAGGTCCAAACCATCTCCCACACTTACAGGCTCACCCCCTCTCTTCCCTCCTGCAACAGCAAAAGGGTTCCCCTTTGTCCTTACCTACCATCCCACCAGCCACTAGTTACTGAGAATGGAACAAATTGTGTGTATGTAGACTAGTTGTTATAAGTTACATCATTGTTTTATTTGTTCCTGCCGTTGTTGGTGAGTTGGCCAAAGTAAACATTTTAAAAACTTGTTCGTTGAGACATAGCTTCAAACTTTTTTCTTGTGTGTTGTAGTAAAAACAAAATCACTAGCAACCATTAAATCTAACTGTTGCAAACGCTTGCAGTGAAGGCAAGTCCTCCATAAGGCAAGTTGTATGTAAAAACAATGCAAAAAGTTTTCAGAGTAGCTCTGCAAATTAGATAGTCAGAAGTTTTTTTAATCTTTCATGGGACTTCGACACTGCTGGGAAGACCAGTACTTGTTGTTCATTCCTAATTGCCCTTGAGAGCAGTTAACAGTCAAACAAAATTGCTATGGATCTGAAGCCACATAGATGGTAGATTTACTTCCCCTCATGAGAATTAGTGAACCAGATGGAATTTTCAGGGTCACCTTTTACAAAGACTCTTTTCTTTTCAATTCCAAATTTAAATACAAGTGCCCGCATCTTAATGCTAATGGATTGCTTGTGACAAAACTGAACAGTATGATTGCAGACAGGAAAATACAGAACTTGTTTAGCAAGTATCTTCACTTTGAGCTAATAGATCTGCATTCCAAAAGATAAAGCGCCCTTATATTGCATAATGGCATCATTACTGGCTCTTTGAAGCCTCTAGGATTATTTAACGCCGATTTATTAAAGGTAGTTTATTAATTAATATTAATTGTCATGACGGGAGAACACATTTCAGTTTTCAAAATTGGAAAAAACAACCCTTTTCCCAGACAGGAACCCTTCTACAAGTAACAAGAATGAATTAAAGCTGGTTTAATAGGTTCAGAAAATTTTTTGAATGATTAATAACCTACAGAATGAAAAAAAATCCAAATTCGATGTATCAGTATGTTTAATGCAAATATTGGAAAATGTTATTGATATCTGCAATGGACAGGGATTCTCCCAAGTTCCTGTGTTTTCTTTCTGCACAATCTGCCCAAAATTGCTGCAGCAATGTAATAAATGATATGCAATGCATGTCAATTTTTTTGTGATTTGTTTTGCACCGTGATTTAAAAACTCTTGCATTAGAACACCTCCTGAGACTGTGACATCACCTCCCATCCACCCCTAACCCAGGATGAATTATTCACTATTGGGAGTTTGTTCTTAAAGTTTTTTTGAGAATGTTCTAAAAATTTAGCACAGTGTTTGGGACACAAATACACTAGTTGAAATGCATAAACACACTAATTTTTTTTCAATTGACAGAAAAGATGGCTATGGTAAAAAGAATGTTATATTTGCATTTATACAGCACTTATTATGACCGTCAGATGCTTTACCATCAATAGAGTATTTTTTGAGGTTAGAAACACAGCAGCCAATCTGGACACAGCAAACTGCCACATACAGCAAGGTGATAATGCCCAGATAAAACTAGCAAATAGTTCTGCATGTTTTTTAAAAGTAACTTTCAGTACTTTAAAATCAAGTTACTCACAGGTGGTAGAATGTCTGGCTGTGCTGCTTCATGACAGACTAAAAAAGAGTGGAAAGGAGCTAAAAAGGAGTGGAAATTTTACGAATATTTTTGAATGCAATTAGTACCCAGATCATCATTACACCCAAAGTAATCCTTCATGCTAATACTTGATTGTGTTGTCAGCTAATAACTGCTGTTAATGATCCACAAGCAGTAAATGTTTGCTGAGTCTTTACACCCATATTGGGACGCACAAGATCATATTAAGGTCATTAAAGGTTAACTGTAACTTTATGGAATAGTACTGTGCACGTACAAAAGGAGCTATATTTTACTAATGTCAGAACAATGGAACTGGGACTTAATTCCCTCGGGATCCAGAGATGTTCTGTTTTACCATCTTTTGTATGTTCAATAAACCTGCTTAATGGGAACACCCAAGTGGGGCCTGATTTTACGACAACTATCAACCTCATTTGATTTTTTTTTAGATGATAGTGTGAAAATTTACTAACACTTGACCTCTCTGTGATGTTATCCGAAAACCCAGCCACCTGTACACCGACAGCATAAGGTTTGATCTCCTCTCTATAACAAAGAGCTGGGTAAGTTTTGAAGAAGGGTGTCTGGGATCGAAATGTTAATTCTGCTTTCTTTCCGCAGATGTTGCTATATTTGGGGTGGTGTGGTGGCTCAGTAGTTAGCAATGCTGCCTCACAGCACCAGGGACCTGGGTTTGATTCCACACACACAACTATATGGAGTTTGCACATTCTCCCCGTGTCTGCATGGGTTTCATCTGGGTGATCCAGTTTCCTCCCACAGTCCAAAGATGTGCAGGTTATGGTGGATTGTCCATAGCAGGCTAGGTAGATAAGCCAAGGGAAATGTGGCGGCACAGGGATAAGGTAGAGGGGATGGGTCTGGGTAGGCTGCTCTTCAGAGGGTCATTGCGGACATGATGGGCCAAATGACCTGTTTTCACACTGTAGGGATTCTATGATCTGCTAAGTTTCTCCATAAATTTCTGTTTTTGTTCATTTCAGATCTCCAGCATCCACAGTTCTTTGTTTTATATTAGGACAATTTAGAGACAGTTGCAAAGTTGACAGAGGTGAAGGTGAGATCAACATAAATTGCGGGAGAGACTCAGCAGATCTGGCAGCATCTGGGCAGAGAAAGCAGACTGAACATTTTGAGTCCAATGACTGTTCACTGCCATTTATTCCCAACTTCTATAAAAAGGTATCTCCGCTGAGAGATTTGATCCAGAAGGATGTTCCTCATGTGGGCAAGCCAACCACCAAGACATTTTTTTGATACTCTCAATCAATTCTGTTGACAAGATCTTGCTGACTGCAATATTACGTGAACTGGGTCACTCCCCCACTAATGTGGTTTGCATAGTGAACTATGTTCCCTGTCCGATAATATCCGCACCAGCATGCCAAATAAGTAGATAACAGCGGTCATTGTTATAAAGATATTGTGTTGCTAAATGATTGAACAGTGGAATATTTTACGATTGCAGGAAAGACTCAATTCTGGAAATTAATGCATTGCAAAAATGCTTAGGCTCCTGTATTTTGCAACAGGAAAATCCTATTGTTTTCGTTTTGAAGTCAATGCCTTCTGTGCAAGCTGACTATTCCAGTATAGAGTGCAGAGCAATTTTACACATGCCCTTTCAACAAGAAATTCATGGTTGAAGTGGACCATAAGCAACTAGAAATGATCAATGCTTCTATGTTTGCAGTAATTACTTGTCAAGGTGCAAGGATTTGACTTTGAACTCAGATAGGAGTTAGGCCCCAGGATGATGACATCTGACATACTGAGCAGATTACCCATCCACACAAGATAAAGATGTCCCTCTTGGTCTATGTGTGGACATTATAGACTATGAGACTGAAAATGTTCTCAAGATAGATCTGTTACATTCTGGTCAGAGCCAGTGCGAGCATTTTACCATTAACAATTATTGAAGATAAACAATTACAAGAGTTGCAAAAGATGATTATCCAAGGATAGCCTGACAATTCTTGAGAACACTCCCTCATTTTGGCCAAAGAGATGAATTTATTACATCATGGTAAGCCATTTTCGAGAGAAAACAAATTCTAATACATAAAGGGCTACAGAAAGATAACATGGCCATGTTAAACCAGGGATACATGAGTATTGAATGCACAAGATGGCTAGCTATCCACTGGACAGGGATGAATCAGGAGATCCAGTCACTTGTAAATATATGTGAGGCTGCCAAAGGTATCAATATTAGTAGCAGAAGCAGCCGCAATATCAATATGATGCTCCATTCACTCCTTGCCAAATACAGCAATGCACTTATTCATAGTGCATGGGAAAATTGTAGCTTTGTGACAGATTACTTCTCCAAATTTTCCACTGTTCAATCATTTAGCAACACAACATCTTTCTAATAATGACCACTATTATCTACTTATTTGGCATACTGGTGTGGATATTATCAGACAAGGGAACATAGTTCACTAGCAAACCACATTAGTGGGGGAGTGACCCAGTTCATGTCTTCACCTCACTCTCCAAACTCGTTTGGCAGAATGTAAAGTACATACCATTATATCCATGCTCATTAAATGTTGAGAAGCAAAACAAGATTTTTGCATTACTACGTTTTCCTGCAACACTAATGGAGAAGGGCCAACTGTCTCTGGCACAACTTATTCTCGAAGGCAGATGCAAGCAACCTTGCTTAGTGATCACTGTTCTAACCACTGTGAGACAAAAGACATTCTTCTTCAACAACAAATTAGGATGAAAGAGATGTACAACCAGTGAATAGCTGGAGAACCATCACAACTATGCACTAGACAGAGAGTGCAGGTCAGAAATCCAGTCACAAATACCAGAAGAATAGAAAAACTCTCTAAGCTTTACAATCAGCCCAAGTCATACAAAGTCATAACTGTTCATGGGCTACATTGTGAAGAAACAAAAGCCAGCTCATACCAAGATAGTAGGAACTGAAGATGCTGGAGAATCTGAGATAACAATGTGTTCATCCAGCTCTACACCTTGTTATCCCAGCTCATACCAATGCATGATACTGTGATACTCATGTTCCAAAAACTAGGGCAAGATGTGGGTCACAGTACTGAAGAATGCAATTAAATGTCGATTACAAAACTGAGTATCTACATACCTACATTACAATCACAGGTAACTACATGATTTGCCAGTCATGCACACAGAGTGAGGAAGAAAACTCCAGTGATGATGATACTGGATGACAGCAACCAGGAGCAAGAGAAGCAAGTTGTCAGCCAAGAGCAACCAATAATAAAACAAAACAATCTAGAGGGGTACATGATTGCCAGATCAAGATGAAGTGTCAAACCTCCAAAGTGTTCTATTGAAATTTGACTTGTTAATCTGGTTATCTTTGTTTTTACATGTCTGTACAATTGTTTAATTGATGGTGCATGCCAATGTATAATCATGTATACCTGCGTGGGATTTCACTTCTAATGGTGTGAAGCTCTCAGTTTCTATTTGCCTGAGCTCTGTCCTCTTGCAGCATGACATGTGGGGAAAGTGTGCTACAGTACTTCTGAATTGTTTAGCTTAAACCCAAATATGTAGTTGCCTATGATTGTAATGTAAGTATGTAGATACTAGTTGGTGTAATAAAAGTTTAATTGCATTCCTCTGTATATGTGTCCCACATATTGTCCTAGTTTGTGGAAGCTAACATGAGTATCACAGGTGATGGTGACAGATCTTCAGTATATCTCACCATATCATGTCTTTGTGGCATCTCCAGTGAAAAAGTACCACGAACAGCAATGTGATATCAACTGTTTAAGTTGTTTAATGATGCTGCTTGATGAAAAATTATTCATCAGTACATTTGGGTAAATCTCTGCTTTGTTATAGTGCTGTGAATTACTTTCACCGGAGAGGACAGTGGGAAACTTCATTGAAGATCTTGGAGGAAATCTGGTGCCACTGGTACTGTATTACATTGTGTTATGATCCCAGATAATGTTGCTACTGGACAAATCTGATCCCAAACTCAACTTGGCTTGATAGACCATATATTTTCTTTGACTTTAACAAAGTTGTCTTCTACTGAAACACAAGCATGTATTATTGCAGATTCGGTTTTAACATTAACATGATACAAAAGAAATGAAGATGAAATATAATAACCAAGGTGTTTACATATAACAGAAATTTAAACCAGAGAGAATTCCCTTTTATTTCAGGCTTAGTTTAACTGTGCCTTCAAGCCCTATCTTGATAATCTGATAAGCTCTTCTTGGAGTCTTTGTACAACTGAGTTCAGTTTTCTCATCTTCAATTAGCCCCTTCAGGGTTTTAACCCAATATTTCAGAACTGGAACTTTTAAACTAAACTCCTTATATTGAGGTAATGTCTTTCTTAACAGTTCTAAACAACTTCCCCTTCTAAAGAGCAATTGTTTTACACATCCAGCTTCAGCCAAAATTTCTGTAACCTGCCCTAAAGTGAAATTAAAGAGCTTTAATTTCCCCAAAGCTATGGGTGTTCCCCAAGTTCAGAAAAACAATTCCAGAGTATTCTATCTGTAAGCTTAATACACTACACTATTTAATTTATTCACTCTGTAAACTGTCCTAATGTAGAAAATTCCCATTATCTTACCCAAAGCATCTATCTTTTTCAGTCTGTTTGTTTTTAAAACCAAAATCCCTAAGGCTACAGAAGAATGTGAACAATTAAATCATTAAACTCCTTCAGACACAGAAAACCCATAGGCCACTAATTCAAAATTTGAAAATCCAAAATAAATGATGTTAATATGTATATAAATCATACCTTGCATTACAATAAGAAAACAGCTCTAGGTTTTGCATTATTATTTTTTGAATTAGACTTGAACGCCTAACCTTTTGACTCAGGGAGCCAAATAGGACACTCTGAATAAGTGGCTATTGAGAAGTCAAACCAGAAGTAAAGTTGTTAATGAGAGAAACTGTGCTTTGCATCTTCTTCAAGGTAGAGAAAAGCTTCAAAAGCCTGACAGTTACTGTCAGTGAAAAGGTTTCCACTGTTAATAACTCAGAGCATTCACGACAAAATTGTGTTTGGAGTAACAGATTCTATATTTGTCTATG